CGTAAGAACAAAATTTAAGAAGTTACTTACACAAGGTGTGATGGCAAATGAGTTGTTTAACTTGTAAAAATTGAAATAAACTTTGTAAAACTAATTTTTTCGAAGGCTTTGGAAATTACTGACTCGCAAAAAATTTGGAAAGCATCTCAATAATCATTCGGAGGCGGCAACTTCGCACCTTATTCAAAAAAAAATTTTCAAAGCTTTTGCACCAAATAGAAATCCTGACCGCTTTTCAACATAGCAGCGTTGCAAATAAGGCGTTGTGTGGGAATACCATATTTGGCACACCCTCTATTTCAACATGCGCACATATTAATATCGTTATGACGGTGTCAATAAGATCTGTTTTGATTCAAGCGCTTTCGATATCGATGTTGAAATGTTTACTACAACAACGTTTTGCAGTAGCGCGCTTGAAATGTATTTTTGAAGAGTCGCGCTATTCTCGAAGTAAATAAACAAAAGACAAAATGGGAGTATTATTTTGTAGATGCTTCTCCATTCGCGAAATTAAGGAAAGTAATTTTTCAAGAACTAATTGTAAGGAATGTTTTAAGGAACAGCAAACATTGTGCAATCAATGTGGGAGACTCGGCTTCGGGAAATTCTACTTGTTTTTACATTAAGCACACCTGGTACCTTTACAAGCTTTCTTTGACATCACTTAAAGGCAGCGGCTCGGCAGATTTTGCATTTCCATCTTTTTGCATGGTGTGGGCCTTCTCGACCCGTAGATCCCGAATCTGAGCTTTAAAAAGGGTGAAAAGGCCTTTTTCGGGGCGTTATTTTTAATCTCCAAAAGGCAGCTCGGACGACAATTTTCAAAGGAAAGTCGGGAGGCCCTGGCACGAAGACCCTGCTGCCTGTAATTTTGGCTTTGTAATGCACAATGCGGGAAAGCGGTTGGGGGGTCCCGCGCCGTCTAGCGGAGAACAGTCGTCCGAACAAGGTGTTAGGGGAGCGAAAGGAGGAACGGGAGCGGCGCTTGTGCCGCCCCCCTGGCTTGCAGAGTTCACATTTTCGGCGCGGAGTTGCTGTTTTGGTTCACTTGGAGGGCCTCCTATCCATCTGTGTCAAAATCTGAGGTACAGTCTGCCCCTATCGGGATCAGGCCGAACCGTCTGCTGAATTTGCGCGCTCGCAGCGCTAGGGAATTGCGCTGCATACGCGCGCTGTCGCAGAGAGTGAAGAGATCGAGGAGAGAGCAGACTGGCTAGCCGCAGATGTGGTGCGAAACCCTCGCGGCGCGGACTCCCGCCATGCCGATTTTGGCCTGGTTAGGATTGGGGCAGACTGTAGGTCAATCTGCCGAGCCGCTGACTTCAAGCTGACAATGGCATAGGATAATCTTACTTATGTGTTGAAATAGGACAGTTGTTTATAGTACGATGCCTCTTGTGTCTTTATGTACTAGGTTTGCTGGTCGAGAATCTTGACAATTCCATTTCAGACTATGATGGAGAAGATTTTCACTTCGGTGTCATCTCGGACGAGAACAAAGTCTCAGTTGAGAGATGCGAAAGTCACTGGAAATTAGCAATAACACAAAAGTGAATAAACCTTCTTTACACAGTCATGCAGAGTATAGAATACCTGATGGTGAATCTATGGTAAAGTCTATTTTATCCGCTAGATCATCTTTTCTTATTGTTAGATGGTATTTATCAGTCTCCTGCTCGCTGTTCAGGCGCGTTACATTATTATACACGCTCCGAACCGAGAGTGTTCAACCCGTAATTTGGTTAGCATGGCCCAAATGGGCAGCAGCGCCTGATCTGTCGAGATCGGGCCTGCCGCGCACGTGGCCAAACTTTCCAGATCAGACTCTTGAGCTCATGTAGTCCTAAGGCGAAGACCAAGCAATATGGTAATGATGAGAAATTGTGGTAATCACTGTGATCCAATCCAGCTTTCTATCACACAGGTTGATACGTATTGTTTTCATTGGGCCAATAAATAAAACTTTATGACTACTTTGCACATTTCTACAGTTCTAAATTATTCCAGAGCTATGCATAGTCCTATAGTAATGATAAACAATGCGTTACTGATGCTTAGGACGAATTGACGTTCGTAGCACTTTTTGAGAAAAATGACTTTAACTTCTCGGTTTGACTTTACATTATTAAAAGTGCATATAATTACAAAAAGCTCGGGGTCAAGAGGAAAGAAAAAACAATAAAAAGTCGGATTTCATGTGTTTGTAGCATGCAAAATTCACACCAGCAGGCGTCTATCATATGCGCCCGCACACGCTGTTGGCGTGGTGCTCACCAGTAGATTCCCGAACAAGCACGAGAACGATGTACAGGAGAATGATAAATACAGCCCGTGGGGAAACTTACTGCATAGTGTTCCGTACATAGGTTATAAGGTCCTTAAATATAAGTAGACGTTTCTGTCATGTATGCACACCAAACAGGGCCCGGCACGAGGTTGTCAAAAGGGCTTTTTGACAACGAGTTCCCCTTTGACCCCAAAAATTTTTTACGGATATCCCATTGACTTAGAAAGTGGTCCCAGTGATTGGGCAGTGAACACCCTACCAAAATACAGAATTTTCATTCAAAAAATGTCCAGAAAGTTTATCCTCTGATCTATTTCGACTCTGAACTCAGCCAAGATTTACATCAGTTTTCTGATGGAATCAAGGCATCAGCGCCATCTGCCACCACAGACAGACGTAGAACGTTCCGTGGCAGTACTGTGATCCTAAATGAAAAAAGTATCTCATAGAATTGAGGAATCCGGCAACCAAGCGAAAAATGATCGATGCCAAAAAGAACAGGCTTACTCAAGATGTAGGAAGAAAAAGCGATAAAGGATGCTACCGAAATAGAAGGGCAAAATATATGATTTCTAGGAAGATCTTCTGCTGCGCATGATTAGCGAATGAAAGTAGAAAGAGTTGGCAGTCTTGGCCGCAGAGCGCGCGGATCAGAGAGCAAATGATTGCACATCGTATTGCGAACGATTGCACCCAAAATCGATGGCAAAACAGTTTACATTAGAATGAATGAAACAAGAGAAAGAAAAACGTAAATCAAAAGGGAAAAGTGAGAGGAATGAAGATATGTTGAAGCAACGCGGTTATAGGGGGTGAAGGACGCCGTCCTAACGCATATCGATTGGAGCGCGCTTTCCTCCTTAGGAAACGAGGCTGCTGGAGCTATTTTTGGCTCTAGCAATGAGGAGAGGAGGAGGTTTGAAACCAAAATTTCGATATATACTAAACTTTAGGTGTAGAGCAGATTTATATGAAAATTTTGAAATAATTATGTGAATTGGGTGTTTTGACAACCTCAGGTTGTCATTAGGTTGTCAAATGACAACCTAATTTGGAAATAAGTTAAGCACGCTCATCAATCACATAAGTTTTTCATAATTTTTCATACTTTGTTACTTAGTCCTATTGCGCATAAACACACCAAGTCCCGCGCGATTTCGTCACCTCTGCGTTGCAAACGAGCCATTTTTCCATTTCTTTGGTAGCGGGAAATTTTCAGAGAAAAGTTTGCCACAATCTTCAGTCACATAATTTTTCATTGAAACTTCTCAATTAAGCCTTGCAGGCCCGTGTGCATATACGTGCCAAGTTTCATACCACATCGTCATCTGCGCGTTGAAAACGAGCCATTTGAATTCACATCTTCATTTACCAATTTTGCAAAATTTTCTGAAAAAATGATTACTCTTTCCGTTCACATAAGTTTTTCATAATTTCTCACATTTTGTTTCCACTAGCCTCTCTCCGTTCGCATACAAAATTTGTTACGTTACGCATACATTGAGAACTAATCATGTATGCTGTTACAAATAGCATCGTCTGAGCGACGTCGCGCGTGCGGCAATTAGCGACGGCGCGGTTTGACGCGCGCGAACTCCAATGTTCGCCTGTTGAGGCGCATAACATGCTTAGATAAGCAGATTTTCCAGGGCTTCGGGCGAACCTTCGCAAAAACGATTTCCCCTTTGCTTTTATTTGCCGAAAACGAATTTCAGCTTGTCATTTGACAACCTCGTGCTCGGCCCTGATACCAAATCTGGTATCATACCATTGCCTGTTCATTGTAATAAGCTATTTGCTCGTTACTCGAAAACAGTTTCTGCGTTATGCGCGATCGTGCAAGAGCAAATGACTGATGGCCGTGCTTGACTTGTTTGTTTTGTGAGAATGTCTGAAGAGAGTAACTTTCAAGAGTTGATTCTGATCTTTTTTGGATTTTTTCCTTACGGATCCGTACGCAAAAAAAGTCGCTTACCTTACTTTTCTTCAGTGAAATCCGGTCTTGTTCCTGCTCCAGCTATCACGAGTTATGTCGGACAGGTATGTTTTATAAGATCATTCCGAAAGTAATTTCGCTTTTTTCAAAAGGTGCCACAATTAAAGGAAGAAAAATTTCAAAAGAGCTTGGTAGCTTTCGATGTAGCATCTCAGCATCCCAAGACCTCTTATAGATCTTTGCTTCATCAATTGTGGCGCCCCTTTGAAAAAAGCGAAATTACTCTTGGAATCTTATGTATAAAGCTGAATGTCTGTTTGTATGTCTGTCTGTATGTATGTGTGTACGTATGTTCCGAATAGAAAATTCCATTTCTGAACCGATCCGGACCAAACTTGGCACACATACACTTTGGCCCCGGCGAATGTCATAGGCTACTTTTCGTCATCGATCGATGTCTATTTTATCGATTTTTTGCAAAATTTGAGCTACAGGGCTGGGAGTTGGCACAGGGGGGTAATCGAGCATGCCGATTACAAATATATTATTGACAGGGTCGAGCGGAGCCGGGTAAGCCATCTAGTGAATCAATATAATAGTAGTATCGATTTGTAGCAGGAAAGTTGAGCGAAACCTAGGAATACCAGCAATAGGCGCTTGATGATTTGTTTCACGGAACACCACCATTCTAGCTTCTAAGGGAGACAAAAGGCATCAGACTTTAGGCCTTAATTGGAAATAAAGGACTGCTAACAAACCTTTCCGGCACCATTTTTAGAGTTTTATGTCCAAGCCTGAAGAGTGTGGGACTTTCGAACATTCTGAACTCCATACAGGTTCCTCTTCCACACTTTCATTCAAATCGTTCGCTTCCTCCTCTGCTTCCTCAGCAGCTGTAAGCTCTTGCGCATTCGCCAGGTTATCGACAGCGATAGCCAAAAATACATTCAACAGTGTGTCTGAAGTGTGCAATAAGTTATGATTTGGAATTCTGAAAAAAAGACGAGATATACAGTTTCCAAAAAGCACTAGAATTATGAAGTAGATGCAGTAGACCATTCCTCCTCCATAAATGCCTCCTTGGGCTTCTATAGCTAGATACATGACCTCGTTCCAGTCTTCACCAGTCAATATCTGTAAAAATCTAATGTTGATTCAGGCTCCTTAATAGGTATTGTGCCTGATATCCTGTGTTCACACCTGGAATACGGTAATCAAGGCCACTGGGAATGTATCAAAATGGGTGTAGGGATGCATTGATGGAAAGTTAAACCTGAATTGAAACATGGCAGATCATCAAGCATAGCTCTGAGGTCAAAGCTCACTTTCCTCCAAAAAGCTGCATTCCAAGGAGAGCAAAGATCACAATGAAAAGAAAGAGAAGAAACAGCAAGGAGATTATACTGCGCATTGAATTCATCAGGGATCGAACCAAATTGCGAAGCGATACCCAATATCTAAGAAGTGCGGATGAAAGAAAATTTGAGCATTATGATGTTACATACGATGTTAATTTGAAAATCCTCAATAGACGCAGCGCACGTAGGACAGAAATACCAAATGAAACTCCATTTACTTCAGTCCAAGCAATCTCAAATGCGGAAGTGGCAATTACTAGGCAGTCGAAAAGATTAAACTAAACATAAGTTTGTGACGGAGTTCTTTCCGAATAGAAGTTCAACAACCTTGGACGCGAAATAAGAGCGAGTGCCCATGGCAAACAATTTGAGCATTACTTCGATCATGAAAATTCCAAGGAATACATATTCAGCATAATCTGTAATTTCAACACTTACTGTGGTTCCGGGCTGAAAATGAAAGCTGCAGAAGGTTCATGCAAGACTATCGGGAAAATGGTCTAACTACCTCGATTTCACGCAAACAAAGCGCATCTTTTTCGATTTTTTAAGCAAGGCGCTCAATCGCTTCAATGTGTTTCGGAAAGCGGTTCTTATGCCGCACGATTCTCTTGAGCAATACACAGCAGGATATAAAGACCTTCAATGGCGAAGTCTTCGTGTTTGATTTTGAAAAAATGACCGAATTTAGGAAAAAATCTCCCAGCCTCGTACGCGTGAAATTAGTGTAGCTGATTATCGCTAACATAGCATCAAAAATAAGCTATTAGATTTACCAAACCAAGAAAATAGAAGGTTGCTACAGTACTTTATCCATGCACCTTTGCCCTTCCTCACTGTCGAACCCATATTCTCATACCCGCGCAACAACAACGGAATAACTTACGTAAAAAATTTGTAAGCCACGTTGGCTGCCCGTAATGTTCGGATGCGACACATACAGTATTGAGAAAGACCAGACCTATCACGGACCAATAGAATACTTGCGTCTTTACCAATACCCGTATCCGAGATCTGAATATCTTCTTACACGGGAAATCTTCTTTATGTACTATATGAGTTTGACCTTGCTGTACGAATTTGTTTACAGATGTGATAGTAGCAACCGTAGTGCCGTTTCTCTGAAGAAAAAAAAATGAATAATTGCAAGCAGTTGAAGCTAAAAGAGTATGTGCAGCAAGTATGGCCTGCATGTAAATCTTATATATAAAGCTGAATGTCTGTTTGTATGTCTGTCTGTCTGTCTGTATGTGTGTACGTATGTTCCGAATAGAAAATTCCATTTCTGAACCGATCCGGACCAAACTTGGCACACATACGCTACGGGCCCCGGCGGGTGTCATAGGCTACTTTTCGTCATCGATCGATATCGATTTTATCGATTTTTATCGATTTTTTTGCTGAGTTCACCTACGGGGCTGGGAGTTGGCACAGGGGGGTAATCGAGCATGGGGATTCCGAATACAATATTGGTTTTCAGGATTATCGATTACTTTTATCGATCTTATCGATTTTTCGCAAAGTTTGAGCTACGGGGCTGGGAGTTCGCACAGGGGGGTAATCGAGCATGGGGATTCCGAATACAATATTGGTTTTCGGGATTATCGATTACTTTTATCGATTTTATCGATTTTTTGCAAAGTTTGAGCTAGGGGGCTGGAATTTGGCACAGGGGGGTAATCGAGCATGGGGATTCCGAATACAATATTGGTTTTCGGGATTATCGATTACTTTTATCGATTTTATCGATTTTTTTGCAAAGTTTGAGCTAGGGGGCTGGGAGTTGGCACAGGGGGGTAATCGAGCATGCTGATCATCCCCAAAGGGGGTGATCAGCATGCTCGATCACACCCCTGTGCCAAATTCCAGCCCCCTAGCTCAAATTTTCAAAAAATCGATAAAATCGGTAAAAGTAATGGACGATCTTGAAAACTAATATTGTATTCGTAATCTGCATGCTCGATTACCCCGCTGTGCAAACTCCCAGCCCCGCAGGTCAAACTTTACAAAAAAATCGATAAAATCGATAAAAGTAATGGACGATCCTGAAAACTAATATTGTGTTCGTAATCAGCATGCTCGATTACCCCCCTGCGCAAAATCCCAGCCTCGCAAGTCAAAATTTACAAAAAATCGATAAAATCAATAAAAGTAATCAATAATTCTGAAAACTAATATTGTATTCGGAATCCCCATGCTCACTTCCCCCCCCCCTGTGCCAACTCCTAGCCCTGTAGGTGAACTCTGCAAAAAAATCGATAAAAATCGGTAAAATCGACATCGGTCGATAACGAAAAGTGGACTGTGACACCCGCCGGGGCCCGAAGTGTATGTGTGCCAAGTTTGGTCCGGATACGGCGGAGACGGGTAAGCCAGCTAGTCAGAAAATAAAATGACGGTGATTTGCAGAATTTTTGAAGAAGGGTCAATATTATTCCTCTACTCAGACAATCGCCGGGGGCAGGCGGTCACCGGAAAAATAGATGGCTGATTTCTCGCACCCCGCTCGCGGATTTTTTGGAAAGCAATCGGGACTTTGCTTGCTGAGTCAGCGGGTTTTTGAGAGACCGCCTGCTGAATTTTTTTCCGCTCTTTTCTTTTGCAGATATATTGCTGAATCTCTGAGGAATCGAGAACTCAGCAAGCGGTCTTCCGAAAAGTCCTGATTTCTTTCCGAAAAATCCGCGAGCAGGGTTCGAGAAATCAGCCATCTATTTTTCCGTGCCCGCCTGCCCCCGGCGATTGTCTGAGTAAGTGGACGCAGACGACACGATCCGAGAAATCCTTGTCTTGTCAGTAAAGCAGCAAGTGGTCTGCGTAGAATTTGATCTGCTTCGCATAGATAATCGCCCTTTAGAGGAATCTCAAACCACTTATGAATGCTTCAAAATAAGCTCTATATCTGAACCCTATTCGCTATGCTGAATCCAAAAATCACACTGAAGGAGCGAAAATGGCGAAAAGAAAAAAGGCTCCGATGCAAAAGGATTATCAGCAGGAGGGTGTGAATTCACCCTCCCAACTTGCGGAGCGATCTTCGCGGTTCCGACCAGGGCCCAGCACGAAGGTGACAAATGGACATCGGTGAAACGAGTTCGCCTTTGCCATTGTCAATTTTCACGACTTCCCAATTGATCTCGCCAGCTGTGCAGGTTGTTCGATTATAGCGCGCTTTGTTCCTCCAAGGAACTGGCGTCGTTTTTACTCTTGATCCTAACAGAAAGAGAGGAGAAGTTTTAGAACCAAAATGTTGCTACAGGGTGGGGCAAAATTCTGGGAGCTTACAAAGGAGGTCCGTTTGGTTGAAGTGGTCTTTTCAAATGAAGTTGATACGACCATAAAGAAAATCGAACGTGATTCCAAATCTGTCTTCGTTATCTGCCGAGCTCCTCTGGACGCCGAGTTATGTTTTTTTTCTATGTTGAGATATTAAATGCAATTAGGACAAAAATTGTCAAAATTGCGTAAATAGTTCAATATTGATTATCAGAGCACTCCAATCAAACAATACTTTCTGTCCAAAACACCCATAATTAACGCTGCACTATTTGAACGCTGAAGAGAACGTAAAATTTGATTTACGTAGATTATGCGTTCATTTTTCGCACAGGAAAATATTCATAACTCGGCATGCAGAGGCGCTCGGCAGATAATGAAAACAAATTTGGAATCAGCGTTTGATGCTTTTCAAAGGGGTTTAAGACTCATTTGGAAAGGCCACCTCGATTAATCGGACCTCCCTTGTTAGTAATTTTCCAGATGCGACCAGAAGAAAACTACCTAGAAACAGAAAATTTGGTGCACACATGAATCGAACCTTAACAAATATAGCGCAGCTCTTAAATTTTGAAATTGGCTCTTTTGTTTCCAAAGCAGCCCTTCACAATCCTGGCAAGTCTGACTGTCGTGGCACGAAGGCATTCAAAATGGAATTCTATGCCATCATGATAACTGTTTCTTTCACTAGGCAAATGTGCAGTATGATAGAGCAAGCTTTTGGCTACAACATATTTTACGAAGAAATTTATTCGCGAATTTTGGACAAATTTTAGGCAATTCAAGTGAAGGCAAGTGTACTCGCATGCTGGAAATTTGGATGCGATTGCGCAATTGTGAGCGAAAAATTACAATCTAAAAAGGATGAATTTGCTTCATTAATCAAATTCGAATGGAATACAGAAGACTCATAGAATAAATATAGCCTAATACTCGGCACTTGCTGCGCTCTTATAGCCTTAGAATTTTGATTCAAAGAGAAATGGCCACTGGCACGCAGGTAATATTCGAATTTTTATTTTGCGTTGAAAGAATAGTTTTTGGTAAACGCAACTACTACGGTGTGATAGCGCAAAGCCTCGTCTAATTTGTGTACAACAAATTACTAATCGCAGATTTTTAACCACGAAATAAACTATGCAACCAAAAATTTTGATTTTTTCGCTCTGCAGAAGCACTCGCTTGATAAAACCAATTCTTCCAATTGAATATGGCAAGCATTTTCAGCTATGTAAAGTGTGGTTTGTAGAGGATGATCGCAGTATTATGTGACACAAATTTGGAACTAACAATAGGATCATCAGTAGTTTCGTGATTTACAACACTGCAAACTTGGCTCCCAGACTTTTGCCCCACCTTGTATATGCTAAGCTTTAGCTGTAGATTAGGTCTCGAAAAACTTATGTGAATTGGAAGTATTGCCTACCTCATGTGGGCATTAGATGGGCAATTGCCCACCTAATTTGGAAAAAAGTTGGGTACGCTCTTCATTCACACAAGTTTTTCATAATTTATCATACTTTGTTCCTTAGTGCTACTGCGTGTTACATAACAAATCTTGCACGATTTCGTCATCTCTGCGTTGCAAACGAGCCATTTTTTCATTTTTTGGTAGCGGGAATTTTTCAGAAAAAAGCTTGCCACACTCTTCATCAGTCAACTTCTGCAGGTCCGTGCTCATGAAAGTACCAAATTTCATACAATCTCGCCATGTCTGCGTTGCAAACGAGCCATTCGTATTCGTATCTTCATTCACCAATTACGCAAAATTTTCCGAAAAGAATGCTTTTTACACCTTCCATACACACAAGTCTTTCATAATTTTTCATACTTTGTTTCCAAAGCCTATGTTCGTTCGTTTACGAGATTGATTGCCATATTATTACGCATACATTGAGAAATAGTCAAGTATGCTGTCCCAAAAGACATTAAGCGACGTCGTCGCGCGAACATAGGCTTTTGCATGACTGGCAATCAGCGTGCGGTCTGACGCGCGCGAACTCTGATGTGCCTTTGCATATGACATGTTGAGATAAGCAGAGAGCAGTGATCACCTCTTTTCCAGGTCTACGCCCCGTACCTTGCAAAAACGATGTCCCCTTTGCGTTTGACACCAATAGGACTTCCAGCTCATCATTTGCCCACCTCGTGCCGGGTCCTTTTCGACTTTAAGTCGCGCTCGCGCATAGTCGGTGGCGATGTAAGGGCGGCTACTCAAGTCCTGCTCCAAACCCACCAAACCAGTGAAGCTACACAGTGAATGGATTCTCCTCCTTCAGACGAACTAAGGAGAGCAACAATTTTCAAAAATTGTCTTGAAACATTGCGATTATCGCACCGTCATTAACACGATCCTGAAGCATTACTTGACGACGCTCATAACGCTTTGAAAGAAACAGGCTATTGAAAACACTGCACCATTATGCATTGGAAATGATCAAACAGCTCTCTAATATCCAATCAACTTTTTCCACTGGTATAAAAAATTAGCTCGGTCACATCCACAGAAACATACAAACCACCAATCACAACAACTCATGTATATTCTCCTGCAAATACCGTAGCTATATCCTGTTTCGCCTTCCTCGCTGTCTAAATCGTCTTCAAAATCCTCCTCTTCTTCAAAATCCTCATGGGTCTCCACTGAATACTTTCTTAACGCAGTTTTCAACTTCTTCTTTGTCTCTGCTCTACGACGGCCTAAACAGAGATAATGTAAGTGTACTTTCAAAGAAGGGAGAGCGTTGGTTTGATGCAAAACTGATGGCCGTTTTCTTTACCTTATGTTCAAAGCTGCGCCGTTTCTCTTCCTCGTACTCCTAGTAAACTAAGTAGGCTTCTACACAGCGCGCCTCCTATCTCTAATGCCTGCCCTTGTCAGCTGCGAGAGGATAAGTATGATTGTTCCACGATTTTAGGAATGCCATATACATTTGTATATGTGTGTATGATTGCGCCCCCTCCCCGAGAATGGGTCGCGAAATTTTTGAAAGTTACTTACATAAGTTATAAAAATGTGCAAGAGACTTATTTATACTTGTAAGTAATTGAAATAATTTTTAAATAATTTTGAAAATTCAATTCAGCCTTATAAAAAATTTTTTCGGAGGCGTGGCGTCAGCCACGCCCCCTTTTTCTAAAAATTTTGGGGTTCTGGGCCCGCGAAAATTTCAAAAAGGGTACCAAAAATTTTCTCTGGGTGCGTGGCTAACGCCACGCACCTTCATCAGAAAAAATTTTTGTCGCGACCCCCCCCCCCAAGCCGAAATCCTGGGTAGGCCACTGATATTTGTGTATGCTTGTGTGCAAGTATCTATGAGTGTGTGCATGTGTGTATGTGTACAGGCTACTGCCGGATGCAGGCGCGAAACTTACGGACGGCAGACTAATGCACAACATCTAATAGTTGCGTCCCGGTCATCGGTTTAGCCGTGAAGGGCGGCAGACATCACGCAATAACGGATGCATGCCTGCCTACGGATACTCCTTTATGCTGGACACGTCGTTGATTATGTTTAGAGGTGAGTTTATGGTGAACTTGCCGCAAGGACAAATCGTTCCAGTCGAGAGGAAGGTAGAGGATGTAAACAGCTTATAACAGTGAAGTCCTCTGCTTGAAGATTATGAAAGCTGACCACAATCGCGCTCGTTAAAGGCACCGTCCACCCAAATTCTCGACATCCATGTTTTGTCGCTTCCGGGCCTTCTGAAGGCCCTGCTTTCGAATATAAAGTCGAGAACCCTCGAAAACCCCCAAAACCACTATTTTGGACAACAAGCAGGAAGGGTGGAAGTGCAAATCGCAGGGCTGCGGCGCGTTATACGCCCGGCGTATATCAGCGCCGCAGCCCGCCAAACCTGCAAAATGGGCGAAGTGGCCAGCTGTGCGGAGTGACCAGCTCTTTACGTACCTTCCGAAGCGGATTTCTTGCTCCGGAAGCAATCTTTTGCGGGGAAACTAGGGGTTGGCCTAGTGTGGGGGCCCACACTAGTATGCCATCGAATCTCGTGCATCCCCACTTTGGGTGGACGGTGCCTTCAAGCTATAGCGGCCGTGTATGGTCAATGCTTTGCAACAATGTTTTTGTTGGTATTCGTTGATCCATTCTGATACAGAGAGTGATTAATCGTATTTTCTTGATTTGTGTGTTTTTGTGCCTTTGGGTCCGTGATGTCTGCCGCGTTCCACGGCTATACCTATGGCCGACGACGAAACTATTGAAGTAGATGCGTCTTGAATAAGTCCGGGCGGGAATGCGGTTTCATTAGCCGCAGTGCGCATGAAACGCAACGTTTAAACGGTGAAAATATGCGCACGCCGCGTTCGCACCTCTTCAACTGATATTTTTGCACCTTACTCGGCAGTAGCCTGTAAGTTTGTATATATATATATATATATATATACATATATATATACATATATATCAGTGGCGCACCGAGGGGGGGGGCGCCCCCTCCCCCCAGAATGGGTCGCGAAATTTTTGAAAGTTACTTATAGGGGTTATAAAAATGTGCAAATGACTTGTTTACACTTGTAAATAATTAAAATAATTTTTAAAAATTGTTAAAAATTTAAATTAGCCTTGTAAAAAAAATTTTTTCGGGGGCGTGGCTGACACCACGCCCCCTTTTTCCAGATTTTAGGGGTTGGGGACCCGCAAAAATTTTGAGAAGTACCCCTAAAATTTCTTCGGAGGTCGCGCCCCCCCCCCCCCCCGAGCGAAAATCCTGGGTACGCCACTGATATATATATATATATATATGCATGTTTGTATGCAATCCTTGGATTAGTACTCCTACTTGTTGAATTGTTCGTCATTTAGACATGTTAAGGTTATAATGTTGGATCATAAGCCTATTGTATCGACCCATACACCAGATCGAATTGCTGTACAGACCTCGACAGAACACCCAATCGCTTATCTGTATAATGTGCTTGGCGTAACTCCACATACACCTTGTCACCTCCTCATGATATGAGCTGTTCACTAAACCCTTTTTATGTAGGAATAAGTGACGCTTTGTTTATAAGTCTGGCCAAGTATACTATTGAAGCCACTCTCGACTTTTCAAACATAGTGATTACATTTAGAAAGCTTGGTATAAACTTGACTACAGTCGAGTAAAATTTTCAAATTCAGCACATGGTCGCGACCGCTTAAAGGCAGTGTCCGGGCAAAAACTCCATTTTGAGATTTTGTGCTTACCCGGGCCTATTCGCTATGCTGAATCCGAAAATCCACATTGGAGAGCGCGAAAACGACGAGAAAGGGCTCTAATACTGGAGGGAAATCAGCAAGTGGGCGGGGTCTTCCCCACTGTGAATTCACGCTCCCAGCTTCTGGGGCGATCTTTTTGATTCCGGTTTCAAGTCATTCGTTTGCACTTGATAGGTAGTGATGTCAGGGCAGCTAACTGATTCGAGAAAATTGCTCTGGAAGCTGGAAGCGTGAATTCACAGTGGGGAAGACCCCGCCCACTTGCTGATTTTCCTCCAGTGTTAAAGCCCTTTTTCGTCGTTTTCGCGCTCTTCAATGTGGATTGTCGGATTCAGCATAGCGAATAGGCCCGGGTAAGCACAAAATCTCAAAATCGAGTTTTTGCCCGGACACTGCCTTTAAGAGGTCGGCGTCACAAGTGTAGCTATTGTTCAGTGCAAATTTTGTCGCATTTTCTGATCGAAAGCGCGCTATATTAAACAAAAAATCTAATCGGCTAGTAATTAGCAATTGCAAATGCTCTGCTGAGCAACCTTTAAATTTCCAAAATTCTTTTGGAATTGAGTAGTGGCGCTCTAAGCTGAAGTTTTCTACCGTGTTCCAATGGCAATAAATAGCGACGCAACACACAGAGAGTCTGAGATAAAACTCTGTAGAATGTTAATACTTCAAGGTTGGCAGGCTATGGACTGAGAAGTGTACTACAGTTATGCCAAAGCGGAAAATCCTCAAGCGATGTCATTTATAAAGACGATAATAGGGAATTTTCAATCTTTTCTTCACCTTGTTTGCCCTTAACACGTGTTCAATCATTTTGATGATATTTCCAAGTCCTTTTAACCAACTCTCCTACGGACACACTTTTGTCCTTTCTCATTGAAACTGGAGGTACAAGAGAACTTCTTATACAGCTTGTTCCAAGAAGATATGCACCGTGTTTGATCGTTGATAACTCTCTTGTTTTCCTGTCTCTCATTAAGCTTGAGATACCATTTTGTAGAGCGAGGTTCAACATAGACTCAAAGTGTGGATCAAACATCAATTAGTTTTTGTTGCTTTAGGCCCAAGGCATACCTCCAGCGACCCAATCGTCACGATTTTCGATCGCTGCGTCTAGACTGCCTGGGCGACGTCCATTGCGTCAAAATCGCCCATCGCTCGATTCTTGGGCATACCCATAGCGATTTTGTGAACGCTCACGCACCACACGGCATTAAACGCAGTTTTGGAAAACTTGCGATAAATTCTCTGAAGTGCATTTTTTCGAGAGAATTCGAGCAGAATTTGGCGCAATATGCTTTGAGAATTACATCAAACAAGAAAGGATATGGATCCACTGACACACATCCCAATATTTATCGACGTTTTTCTACTGGCGCAAGTTTGGTAGTTGAATCTGCGATGAAATCAACAACTAGTTCATAAAGTTTTTGAGTTCTCGGTCACTGGTAGGCATATAGGTTAGCTTTGTTGTAAAATCATGCTTTCGTCTTAGTAAAAAACTCTGAGTAGCTATTTCAGCAGCGACTGCTGCGCGTCTTGTCTGCCAATCTGCGAACGCTTATACAAATCATTCATTCTCTGACTGAAAGACACCAGCAAGCTTTGCGTACGTTTAATTAACAAGTTTACGAGTAAGATTCTTGGTGAGAAATGTTCAAGCTCGTAAAACAACACGAGTTCGATCATATTTATGCACGAATTTCCAATAGTGACTTACCAAATCGCTTTAAAACGCACTAGCAACTTATACACGGAACGTAGTGCGCAAAGCGTGCTGTGTCTCTTAATCAGACAATGAACGATATATTTCTGAGCGACCGAGAATGCACATCTATTCTATCCACTTCGGAAAATAGCAGGAACATTCGAGATTCGGTCGCTACCCATATCAGTCAACAAGAAAAGGAGAAGATTAATACATCGCGAGAACACTAAATGCTAACAGAGAGGGTGAGGTGGCATGTGGGAAGCATTCCACACTATATAACCCGCATGTGTTGTTTTCAAGGATTAATAGTATGGAATGTTCGACGACCATCCTTCTCTCATGCAGAGAGGAAGCGCCTGTGTGAGATGGAATAGTCCAACGAAGTTTGCATTTGCAAGAAAACACAAAACTTCAAAACAAAGAAGAAGTATCCGAGCGATTTGCTCATCGCTGGATCGGACCTAGCGACGGCGCCATCGCTGAGTTCAGCGATGTCGCGACGATTTCCCTGCCGAGGTATGCCCTTCCAAAAACGGCCCGCGATCCGTCGCGGCGTCAATCTAACACAAACGCGGCGGGACCTTACAGTTGCGCTGCGGACTCGGAACATATGTCCGAGTTGGAATTTGCGATGCGACTGGGATCGCGGGTGGTATGCCTTAGGCCTTAGAGATTACGATATGAATTTCGAGAAGGATTTTGGGAACGGCGAAGGCGATTTTTGCCTCAGAAGGAAAAGCACACAAGCCAGAAACTCTATTACCGGGCTAATGAAGTCGCTAATTTCAAAATGAAATTTGCACTTCTATTCCAGGTTTAGAGTAACAACTTTTTTCCAGTATTAGTCAAATTGTGACTACACGACTGAAAAAGCTCGAAAGATCAGTAGAAAGTCGTGTGGTGTTATCAAAACGCCTACAAACCTTGCCACACATCTTATTTTTGGAATATTTCTCATCAAAAGGCCTATTCCACAGAGGCGCTGCAGCTGAATGTTCACCGTAATCCTACAGTAATAAAGAGCGGTTAGCTCCATACTGCAAATCTAAGCTAAACTTCGCTCCACGAAATGGTGTCTTTAACCGGAAGACAAGAAAGCAAGAGAGTTATTAACAATCAAACATTGTGCACATCTTCTTGGGACACCCTGTATAACCAATGCTCATCCCATAATCTCGATGTATCTCGTTGCAGGCTGATATCCCAATGACAGTTAAGCAAGTAAAACGTAGAGCACCATACCCTCGAGAATTGCTTGTTTCTCTTCCTCTGTAGTTCGATCTTCTCTGAGTATCAATTCTTCCGCAGCTATGATCCATTGAAGGTAGTCGCTGAGTTCGCGCTCGATCTGTTGTTGTCGCCGAAGCTTTAGGAACTCACGGCGATTTTCTACTCTTTCCCTCTCTTTCGCAAACTCTCTGAGAGGTGAAATTGTATTAAATCTACTGTTGAGCAGCAGCTGTGCCCATGGTAATGCCCGCAAATGCTGATTTCGCAGCATACGCGTCTACCATCACCATGGCGTTTACTTACCCTGACAAAACTCCGAGAACGAGATTTAACAAGAAAAACGATCCAAGCACAATTAGCGAAATAAAGTAAGCCCAATTGTAAGTGCTGCCCAGCGAATCATTGGTCTGAAGATTCGGTATTCTGACCCACCGGATATGCAGTGCCCAACTTTAATTCTTCGAATTTCTACAGGAAGAAATACTGCGGAAAATTCGAAAGGGCCTACTTTTTTGGGCATCTCGGTGGGTTCAAAAAATGCCTTTTTTCAATTTTTTTGCCCCCTAAATGTACTCTGTTTACCCTTGCTGTATAGTGCGAAAAATTTGCAATGGCTTTTTGCTTACAATTTTTACAAGGTATAAAAGCTTTAAACGACCACCCAAGTTTGCAAAGAAATCTCTCAATTCAGAATTTTTCAAAAATTTCAGTTAAGGAAATGTTCTGTAGCACAAGCTTGCAATCGTTAGGCACATTTTTTGAAATAAATTCGGTGGTTATTTAAGGATTCAGGAAGAGAGCAAAAGGAAAAATTCTAAGATTTAGTCTACTGCTTTGAACAAAAATTTAGAAAGGACCTAGACTTAAAAGAACTAGGTGAAATGCTCTTTCAAATAATATGGAAAGTTTGAAATAGTTGCTTCCGCTTTGGAAACCGGCCTTTGAAAGAAGAGTTACGAGAGTTGTATTGATTATGAATCAATCTAAGATATCAGCGGAAGTTAGCCTATGACCTCCTACCCCATGGTAAATGTTTGCAAAAATTAGCCTCGATCGTTTAGATGGAATTTTTGCATGGAACATACTATAACTTTTCAAAAAAAATTTTCTTTGAGGAATGAATTCAAGAAAAGATCACCCTTTGGGATATGCAAGCATGGGTATCACTCACGTAATACATTACTGTGGTCCATCCTTCCATGGTAATGCATTGAAAAACAGTAATCATGGCGAAAGCGATGTTGTCAAACGAAGTGATACCTATCGTTCAAATGATGAAGTTGTCAGATTATTATTCAGACATAAATTAAGTATGGGAGATTACCATAATTCGGCCCTGTCCATTTATTCAAGCATGTAGTGCCAACGTCACAGTTGTGCACGTCCATAATGGTGGTTTTATTCGTGCTGGAAAAAGGCCAGCATAAACCACTGCAAGGCAAGGGACATACCTCAAGCGATTTTAGTCGCCACGCGATCCGGCAATTTGCCAGTGTCTTCAAGTTCAATACAGGTAGACCCCAAATGCACAGCATGTATAACTTTCGTGGGTTGATAAAATGCCCCATCTTCCGTACATTCAGAAACCTCATAGAATGAGTTATGAACATTTGGAATATTGCCAAATCGCGTGAGGTATGCCCGAGGCCTAACAGACTTGTCGACAAAAATCGCCGAAAAAGCATGCCTACCAAGGTGATGGTCTCTCGCTGATGTCTTCGATTTCACCCCGGTCATTATAACAAGCTGAATGAAATGCTCCTGAGTAGAACTCGAGGCCGATAATAGCGAAGATTATAATAGCGAATAACACCAGTAAGCCGATTTGGAGAAGTGGTGCCATGGCGCATAAAATTGATTTGAGAACGACTTGCAAGCCTAAAGATGCCATGCTGGGTAGTTCGTAAATCAAGAACGTCAAGCCAGCTTCTTGTTCAGCTTATCAGTAAGCTTTTTTAGCGCAGATGTTTGGTGAGTTCTCAGACAACCACTCAGATAATCGCCGGGGGCAGGCGGGCACCGGAAAAATAGTTTGCTGATCTCTCGCACCCCGCTCGCGGATTTTTTGCAAAGCAATCAGGACTTTTCGGAAAACCGCTTGCTGAATTCTCGATTCCTCAGAGATTCAGCAATATATCTGCAAAAGATAAGAGCGAAAAAAATTCAACAGGCGGTCTCTCAAAAATCCGCTGACTCAGCGAGCGGTCTTCCGAAAAGTCCCGATTGCTTTGCAAAAAATCCACGAGCGGGGTGCGAGAAATCAGCAATCTATTTTTCCGGTGCCCGCCTGCCCCCCGCAATTATCTGAGCACTCGGAACTTTCGCTGGGAATTCAGAATTTTCGGGGAACTCTCTCAATCAGGGCCGCATAGCATCCGCGTCGGAAAAATCGCAGCTCAAAAAGCTTCATATCCTGAAGCTCCAGGTATCTGAATTTCACGCTCTCCACCTACCCTCGAGTATTTCCTATTATTCTCCACTTTAAACATGTTAAGGAAAAAGTATGCCAAGGACATCCAAAAAATCATAAAAATCATAGCATGTCGAAAAAGATAATAGTTTTCTTGCAGTAAGGACCAGGTCGTTCTTCTTCTTCAAATAGTGAGGATGCCTCTACCGAATTTCTTTTCTCTTACCCGGACGCAGTACGGGACGGCAGAAAATACCAGGGCTTGTCTGGCTAACTTAACCCGTACCTGTAGCTGTACAAGCCGCATTTTCTAGCTTTTTCTATGATCACCTGAAAATCCCCAGCGGCAGGTTATTTTTCCTTTTCTTTCATTGAAGTTATTAAAAACAATACAAAGTTGTACTGACTATCTTACTCAATCATGCTAACAAGGGAAAGATACCAACATTAGCTGGCAATTGAAGATGAGATGTATATTGGTAGATGCGCCTTTAAACGGATTCCAAATCTGCTTTCCATTTTTGCGGAATAAGATTCCGAAAGAAGTTATGAGCGTTTGATGTCCAGATTTGCCAAGCATTCAGTGGCTTAAAATCAGTGAAAAGCTCTGAAATAACACCTATGCGATTTCCACCGGCTTTGTTCCTTCCTTGCAAACAATACACTCGAGACAAAAATGATTTTCCACTTTCCGGTGTTTTTGTACAGCTTTCCGCCAATTTTAGGCCACCTAAACCTTGACAAATATGGACATTTGAATGCCCACTACTTCTTTTGGAATCTTATTCCGCAAAAAATGAAAGCAGATTTGGAATCAGCGTTCAAAGGCGCGTCTACTGATATACATCTCATCTTCAATCACCAACTAATGTTGGTATCCTTCCCTTGTAAGCATGTTTCTGTCATGGAGACAAATGATGTATTGGAGTTATGAAATTTGCGATGAACCACAATTCGAAAGTTAGGTCATCGAATACTTCGATAATATTAGGTTGCTGCAAAAGTAATGCGCGTTTTGCGAGTCCTCAAATTGCGTGCTATATCTTTTTAAAAAATCTGCATTTCTCAATGCGATAAAGATTATCATGCGGCAAACCTTTCTCAATACAGTGCACATCCATTTATATTCATATCACAAACGCACAGAAAACGTGGATTGATAAGCAAAAACAATTTTTTCTGAAAAATCGTTGTTGACTGATCATAACTCACTTCAAAATTTGTTAGTATAATTGATATGTAGCCTGTCCTGTAGCCACAGTCTAGAGTACAATCAAAAAGGTATGAACAAATAAAATTCGCGAAAAATTGAAATTCAATATTGTTAGCTTTTACTCAGCATTTTTCTGGAGGCCTCAAAGTCCCTGCATGTGAAGTTTTTTGTTTTACCTATCGAAAAAGCTGAAAGCTTTTTTGCAAAAACCGTAAACAGGAGGACTACGCTCAATCTTATGGAAATGAAAAGCTTTGGCGATTGCCTTCCTCAAAAAAAAAAAAATTTATGAACCATAGCGAGACCAAAACGATTACCCATGTTGAGGCCCCGATATCACAGTCTAATTCTAGGAATATGGAAAATGCATGATGCAGACAATTTTCGTCACATAAGGCGGTTGAATTTTCGAACGAATGCAGTCATTGGCCAGAAAAAAGTGCAAGGAAATTTTGGTTTTGGAGGCGCTTGTAAAGCTCTGTAAATCTTCAACGAATGGGTTTGAAAGCCTGTTCTAACCACCATCAGATAGAGCATGAAAAGAGCTTTTTGAAGTGCGCTGACGATAAGTCTGTTCCGAGAAAGAACTTTGAAAAGGTTGTCTTAAAACAAAGGCTATACAAAAGGGCATTACTTTTGCACCAAGCTGGTACAATAATCGCTTCTCCAGCATCCTGCTTGCGATTAGCATTGTTCATTTACATAAACAGTGCAACTCTGGAATGTTTTTATTGACACTGAAAAAGAAAAATGCTATGAAAGGAAGACGTTGGCCGCGGAACTTGTCAGGATATCATGCAAAAAGCTGGAAAATGCAGCTTGTACAGATTCTCGCTCCTGCGCAATGTGTCTATAATGAAGGATAGTAGGAGTACTTCTGGTTGGATAAAGAGCGTGATGTCCAGGTATTTGAAGCTTCAGGATATGAAGCTTTCTTTTGAGCTGTGATCTCCTCTACGGCGGGAATGTTAATGTATGCGGCCCTAAGAAGACCAAAAGAGATGACCATGGAGGAGGAGGAGGCCACAGGAGGAGGCCAGACCATGAAGGCCACATTGGCTCGACTTTTGTGAAGTTACCTCGAGCGGACCTCGAAGTGACTTCACAAAGTCGAGGAATGGGTTTCGGGAACTGAGCAAGCTGCTCAGCGGCGGTTTTTAAAATTTGCAGATGCCAGGTAAACACCCGTCCGGAACCTCCGGGAATTAATACGCGTCACTTAACCATTGATACACATCCTGTGCTAAGTGCGAATTATGTTCTTGTTGTTTTTCAAGCTTGTTTCTATTAAGTTTTGATAAGTTCTTTTTGCGTTTTCGTGTTTCTATGTCCCTTTTGATATGAAACTGCTTTTGTCAATTTCCTCTTTTGTAAGACATACCGTTGCAATTCAAACCAACACCACCTTGGAGAAACTGCACTGCTTTAAAGGCAGCGTCCGGGCAAGATTTCGGATGGAATTTTTTCGCTTACTGGGCTTATCCTTCCCCTGATCCCGAAAATGCAGCTCGGAGAGCACGAAAATGTCGAAAACGGTCTTTTCCAGAAGCTCTTAATTTGAATTTTGTAGCCTGCCGCCAAGATTAAGACGCAGAGTCTTTGTGGGACCCTACCTCTTGACTGTGTGCGCTATGCACTCTGGCTTATCGAACTAACTCGTCCCCGGACGCTGGGGTGTTCTGGTCGCCACTTCTGAAGCAGTGTTCTTGCTTCAGAAGCAAATGGGTGCATTGCCAGTTGGGCAAGAGCCTTACTAGGCCGGGCGCCCTGTACTCTACATTTTCATTTTGTCCGGACGCTGCCTTTGAAGTAAGATCTTTACGAGCCTCCCCTTGGAGTTGAAGGACAGCGAGCTAGGTATATAACCTTTTTCAACCGGACATTCCACTCAAGGAATTGGACGACTGCATACTTAAGGTTTCAATGTGAACTTGGAACACTTTCATAAATTTATGTTTATATGTTTCTTCCTATTCCCTAACTTAATTTTTCATGTTTGTATCTCAAAGAAGTGGCTCTTGATCGCCACACTTGTTGGAGTTCTCTCTCCTTACCATCCTACTTTACTTTTTACACGCTGATAAACTAGCTCGGCTCCCTTGTAAGTTTGTCATCCATCATTAAATTTGAATCTTGCTGCCCTTAAGTCGCAGCCGCAAAATTTGCCAAAATAGTTAAGCCTGATCATGCGCTTAATCGCAAACACACTTCATTATGATTGTGACTGCGGCATTACATTCTCTCCAGGTGTCCGAAAGCAAGTTTTCTCCCTCCAAGACCCTTCTATGTATCTGCTAGTTTCCGCTTGATAGCTTGTTCGTGAAGAGATGCAAATTTGCTGTAAACAGTGTGGAGTGAGCTAGGGTGCCATATAAGCCTGCATTGTGCTTCTTAAAGGCAGCGTCCGGGCAAAATTTCGCCTCTCATGTTTTTGTCATTTTAGGGCCTTTTTGTGGTCCTGATTACAGTTATAAAGTTCAAATTATCCAAAAGCCTTAAAAAACCCGGTTTTTGGGGACCCTGTTTTAAGGGCGCGGACGAGATTCGAATCCTTCATCTCCTCTTCTCGCCAGCAGGGAGGAGATACAACTGCATGGGTGCGGTCCCACTCCATGATCGATCGATGCGTGAGCACACGTCTTCAGGGAAAGGTTTGTGATACTTTTCACAGGCCCGTATTTCCTTTTAGAGGCCACCTCAAAGGATCGGACCAACGCAGATCGGGTACTCATGGGACCCGCTTTACAACTATGTGCTAATCTGGGTGGGTGGATCTTGCCCAGACGCTGCCTTCAAAGAAGTTGAGAATCCATCTACACAAGATGAGTTACCGATGCATGTACACTTGCTCATATGTCGTTATGTGTCAAGGTTTCCGTCGATTTTTATTTTCATTTATCGTATCCGTTTTAAAGGAATGTCTCTGCACCTCAATAAAAATTACCTCCTCAATTCCCCGATTTCGCTTCACTTATCAATACCGCTCTCCTTTAAGTTGTTGAATGATCATTTGGGCTTTCTATCTTCTATGTCTTCTTTCATTGTCTTCTCTACTTATTCCCGTGTTGTATTTGTCATTTTGGCACCGACTTCTAGTACAGAAAATATTTCTGGTCTTATCGCATTCAGATCTCTTTGAATATTTTTCTTTGCGGTAAGAGAGTGCTTCTACTAACATCGCGCTTTTTTTCCATCTCATTGGCTCTTAATCTTATTTGGTTATCTTGTGTGTCTACCTGTTCTCATCCTCTTATTCAATCACTCTAAGTCACTTATTTATGTGATTGCCTCTCCTCGATGTTTATATTATTACTCCTAGAAGTGTGTTTGTTACTTTGTTAATATGAATGATTAGTATGTCTCAGTGTTCGCTCTTTCAAGAAAAGAAATTGGCTTTCATTGGGGTAGTCACAGTATGTCAAGTGTTAAAGTGCTGGAATTCCGCGAAATTCAGTTTTTGGAATGGTTTCCAGTGTGCAAAGTTTTGGGTCTCCGAGGATATCAATTTTTGGGAGACCTCCAACCCGCCAAACAAAGGAAACCGCCGGCGGAGCTGCCGGTGCTTCCCAAATGCTAACCTCAGCATCGACTGTCTAAGCTGCCGTTTTGAAAATTTACGGTGTTATTGAACAACATATGAATTTCTATGAACATTGGTACAAATACTCGCCAGTATTGTAGTCATAAAATAAGAAGGAAATGCGCAAAAAACATTTGCGCTTCGAAAGTCTATAAGAAAAAAAATCAAGTATTAGTATAGAGCAAGCACAAGTTTTTTTGCTCATGAAACTTCGCGATCAAACTTTACCACTCACTGGGGATTCCGCTTACTAGCTTCAGTGGCCGCAATACTCTCATAGCTCGTAAGGTTCTCAAGTCGACCGTTTCTACTTGCCCTGAGCCACCGTTTGATGCAACTGGCGACATAGGAAGCATAGTCATTACTCTGAAGACAAAGTTTTGCAAGATGCAGATGAGATGATGTTAAAAGTAAATCTTCACTTATATAAACAGGGTGCGAAAAGGAAGTATTGTCTCTTTGAATCACATATATGCTAATGAAGAAATGAGCATCGGTAATGCGCCGCAGCACTTGAGCAAGACTTTTGTCCCGCGTACTATTTATTAAAGATCAAGTCTAGTCCACAGTAAGATAGTGTGATACACAACCTTTTCTCCAATACCCGACAATTATTGTGGATCGGTAGTCTAGAGTTCTTTCTAAACAAGAAAAATTATAAATGACGGGCTACAAGAAATGTCTGTCAGCGACTTTTAGATATTCTCGTTCTGGAGCTAGATCAAAGTCATGCTGTAAATCAACATAGGAAGTCAATTAAGGTGGTGAACGGAACATTTAGCGGAATCCAGAATACGCTGACATGATTCAATAATATTGGGTTGTTGCAAAAGTTCTACCCGTTTTCGATACCTTTTCGAACTGCCGATTTTGGAGGAAAAACCATTTTTCATAAATAATATTTATATCATTCAAAAGCTCTTTTCCTCTAGATTTCAGGCGTATTTTGTTTTTCATAGATCTTTGTTCGCTGTGTGGTTGCTACTATGAAAAGACAGCGAAACAAATGTGAAAATTTTCGTCTTTGCTTTATCGCCTTGAAATCTACAGCCAAAAGAAAAAATTGTTTTCAAAGCATACATAATGTTTGCTGGAGACTTGTGCTACGAAACGCTCATCGAGATATGATTTCAGAAAAATTTTGAACCTACAAATTTTTAGCTCAAACATAACCTGTCTTTATGGTCCCTTCAAGTCGCATAAAAATCATAAACATATTGCAATCGCGGAACTTTTACTCTATATAGTGAGATTAGAGCTAGAACAACTGCCACTAGAAGAAAGAAAAGATTTCCTGGTTTGTCAACGGCGAACAAATCAAAAATGTCAGAAAATTGCATTTTTTGCCGCCTCAGAAAGAGCAAAATAAGTGGGTCCTTTCGGATTTTTCAGCACAATATTTTTATGAAAGAGTTTGATGAAATCCAAAGTTAGCGGTACTGCTCAGTCGACTATAGGTTACACTGTGAGTAGTGCTTATGCAACTCAGCTATATTCCAAATCAAGTTATGTTTTTGCAAAGTGAAGGTTTCTACAAGGGGATGTTCCTCGATTTTCGCCTATAAAATCTTCTCCAATGTTACTGCAATAATCCTAAAGAGTGCTCAGAGTAGCCAAAGATTTGCAGATGTAATAAAATTTATAGCAATTGCAAAGATTATTTCTGAGAAGAGTTATGATGAATCAAAGTCAAAATTCGAAAACGGGTAGAACTTTTGAAACAACCCAATACTTTGTGGATAGGCGCCGTCTGAACGAACAGGTTTTCAGGGCGATTTTGGTAAACTGCTGAAAAGTGATCGTATCTTGGTGTTCTTGTCAACTTGCTGAAAAAACTTCAGATATTTTCAAGCCATTTTAGACTAACGCAAATCTCAGTGACTCCCACTTTTAGCACAATTTTCATCTAGATGTCCCGCTTTGTACTCCTAAGCAATGAAAATCACTGTGTTTTCTAGACTACCTATGCAGTCGCAATTTTCTCGCGTTATCAATAAAAGCGTAACATCAGTTGCTGTCTTTGAAAAACTTAAGAAGGCAGACGATTGCGTATGAGAGAAAAAGTTTGTACCCTAAAATCCGTCATATAAGAGCGGACTTATCTGCAGTTTTGGCAGGAAAATCGATGGAAAAACGCCGCAAAGGGTGTCACAGATAAGTCCGCCTAAATCGTCTCGCAGATACGTCCGTCTGTCCTGAGCATGAGCAAGCGCGACATTCCATGACAAAATTCCGCTAATGACAAAATTCCAAAAGCTCAACAAACCGGCACTGCTGGTCACCGAACAGATCGTGGAAGGATAGTTAGTCTGTGCTTGGAAATTTTGACTGATGGTGGATGATATGCGAAGCATTTTACATTCAGCTTGCTCCTTTTCGTTAATCCAAGGAGTGTCGCATTTCCTGAAGGAATTTGTCGTATTGAAGAACAGGAAAAATGCAACACGTGTACATATTTGATTTTCAATGCATGTGACAGTTTCCTGCTTTTGCTGCGAAAGTGAATTTGTGACTTCTACGATAGCCTTAGCTGAAAATTTGACGTCGAAACACGATGATAATACAAGAAAGTTGTTGTTTTTTTTTGCACAAGCTCAGACAAGTGTGTCATGCTCCTTGAAATTTTAGCCTGGCATATCGCAGAACCTTGAATTGAATTTGATGCACGATGGGCCTGAAGCTTCTTTCAGCCTGGTTCGTAGCGGGTATGCATCTTCGATCTGCATCGAGCGGCAAGTGATGCAGGAGTATATCGGAAAAGCCGCATTCTCAAAAATGTTATCGGGTAGCACGCGGGCAGAAGGGATTGCCATGAAGAGGGTGCAAGAAGGCAAATGAGAAAAGCAGATGTCAGCTTGTGCGTTTTTCATTTTTCTTTGCTTATCATTAGTCAAACAAACATTCTTTTACTTTAGTTACACTTTAGCACTATCAAACATTTATATACTCATTTCGCGAGCTGTTCAAGCCACACGAGTTTAGGGGATTTTGATGCTAACAGTAACAGTTGTACAGTAAGAAGTAACAGCTGAAGTAAGTAACAGCTGTACTTCTAAGAAGAGGCATACTTTACCGTTTTGCCCATCTCACAGGTTAGACTCGCCAAGCCCGGAGGTTTATTATCAACAAGTGATATGCTATTACTAATAAAATCGTTTTGAAGACACACCAAAAGACAAACGGGAAGAAAATCACAAACAAATCTCTCAAAATTGAGGATAGCAAGCAATATTTATCCTGTATTACTCTTAAATTATGAATGGAGACGATGAATTTCTTCATCAATTACTAGTAAACCAGTAATCCTAAAGGTGCTAGATTTCCATGCGCGCTTCACCACATTGCGGTTCCCGCTATCTTATGTTTTTTAAAAATTGGCGTTATGTTTCCTTAAATACTAGATTAGATATGATTGATATTTTTCTTGATTCTAAATGTCTTGCAATCTTGTTCTATACCGTGCGAGGAAAATCGACTACCAACCCCCTACCCTAAAATCCCGCAGATATGTCCGCCTTTTTGGCACGAAAAATCGATGAAAAATCGCCCTCGAGCCGCCAAAAGTCTCGCAGATAAGTCCGCCATCAGACAAGTCCGCCTACGGATAAAGCGCGACCTAAAAGCACAGACGCGCGCGACCGCCCGCGTAGCTTGCCGGTGTAGATTTAAACAAGGCCGCGATATCGCCTGAAAGAAAGAGCCAAAGGATTCGACAAGCCGTGCAGACTATTTGCTCACAGTATCGTCGCGGATTCGTCATCACATACGCTGTATAGGTGAGTTCTTTTCTTGTTAGATATGACATTTCTTGTTTGTTGAAGTTGATGACACGATAGTAAGATTGGATTTCACCCCATTGCCAGCGAATACTAGGCAGGGGAGACTTTTGATATAGGCAAACTACAACACGCATCTCTTACGAAGTCTTTTAGAACGTTGATCGTTGCGCATATCTTGCTCCGCAACAGTAATTGACAAATTACAAGGAGACAAACGGTTCGTAGTTTCGCAAAAGACTACAGAGAAGTTGTTTCGGATATCACATGTTTTAGCTATTCAATCAAAGCCGTGAATCGTCTGAAAGAGATTGTCTAAGGATTTGACAAACATTGCAGACTCATAGCCGAGAATATCGTCGAGGGATCTTCATCGCGTACGCTGGATAGGTGAGTTCTTTTCCTGGATATGACAGTGTGTGTACGAAATTGAGCGATTTCTGCCGATGAAAAGAATTATAATAGGTTTCATCATTGCATCATTGCAATCATCTCAACTTATCATTCATCTTATCGTTTTGGAGGCGACAATGTTTTCACTACATCTCTCGAACCCGTACAGGCTACAACCCTTGAACCTGACTCCTACACTTTTGCTTCCTCTATTGTTTTCATGTTCTGAATGTAGTCTCTGTTGACCCATGCCATACGGCTTTTGTCAAATGCTTTCTTGAACGGAAGAGTGACAGTCTGAGAATGCTCAACCTTAGCAAAGCATTAGGCTTCCTTGTTATTTTCCTCAATTGTTGTTTCATTGAGCCTGTACATCCAAGACAAAAGATAGTGTAGTCAAATTTGATGCCGCCTGCTTTTCCTTGTATAAAAGAGTAAACCTTTCGATGACCAGCGCAAATTTATAGGACTCCGCGTGATTCCAGTGTGCAATGACCGGTAACTCAGCGAAGTTCAAAATCACGCGGGGCCCTATATTTCCAGCATAGTCTCACATGCTTTGACTTAAGCTTTTCAGGTGTCTCGCATCTCAATGGCTATCAGAAGGAAGTCCTACACCGCGCTTTTTAAGCTTAACGTGGTGCAATATGCCTTGGAACATGGAACATCGGCTGCCGCTGTTCGCTACGAAGTCTCTGATGGTCTGGTTAGAAGATGGAAGGCCGATAAAGAAAATCTGGAGGATATGCCACTGAGGAGACGCGCCAACCGTCATGGGAAGCCAAAGGTGGAGGAAATAGAGGAAGCTCTCTATGCATGGATTGTGCAGACGCGAGAAGGAAGCCGAGCAGTGCTTGTCAAAGACATTCGCGAGAAGGCATTGCAGCTAGCGCGGGAATCTGGCCACCAGGACTTCAGGGCATCGGCGATGTGGTGCAAAGGCTTTATGAAGAGAAAGAACTTATCTCTGAGGCGAAGAAACCATTGCGAACAGTTTCACCAAGGCTCTCGATGACGAATCAATAATAGAAGGCATGAACGAGGATTTCGACGCTTTGATTGTTGCTGATAATAACGATAATGATGGTCGTTCTTTTGGTCAAGTTGTTGCCATGAATGTTTGTTATGAACATGGAATGCTACCTGAATAAAGATCTGTTGCTTCGGTTCATTCTGAGAGCAAAAAAGGCAGC